GGATTTTCTATTCCATAACCAATTATGTCACAGTTAAGAAAATTAAGAAAATATTGATACCATAAGTTATTAACAATACTATAAACTACAGGCCTTAATTAGTTTTCACCAGTTGAGAGCACATTTGTTCCCGGTCCAGAGTCTGCTCTAGGATCTTGCATTTAGTTGTCATGTCTCTCTATTCTCCTTTAATCTGGATCGTCTTTTGTGATACATTTTTGTAGAGTACAGGCCAGTCATTTTGTGGACATGATGTTTATGTCCTTTCAGTTCATCCCATCAGGAGGCCATGGTGTGGTCTCAGTGTGTCCCATGATTGATGATGTCAACAATCACTTGTTTAGGGTGATATTCACCTAATTTCTCTACTGTAAAGTTACCATTTCTCCTTTGTAATTAATGTTATAAGGAAATGCTTTGAGACTGTTTTAGCATCCACTGATGATTCTTAGGTGGATCAGTTATTACTGTGATGGTTGTAGAGTCATGATTTTCTCATTTCATTATTACATCCCCATTTATTAATTGGCATTCTACTATAAAGAAGAGCTTTTCTCTTCCCTCTTAATGTATTTTATTATTATCAGTATGGGCTCATGGATTCTTATTTTTTTCAATGAGTTATAATCTTTTAGGTCATTACTTATTTAGATGCTCAGATTGGCCCAGATTTGGCTAGTGGGTTCAACAAGCTGCTCCTGAGTCCTTCTGATAGGTCCCCATTATTTTTTGAAGTACTTCTTGCTTTCTGGCACATTAAGATGTTCCAGGCTCATCTTATACTTTCCTTGTCCCACCATGTAATCAGACATTTCTTCAAGTCACTCCAATTCCTTTTAGTGGGAATGGTATTTGGAAACCTGGATCTGGATGGCAATAAGCAAAGTTTAAATGTTCACTATCTTGCATTGTTTCTAAGATGTACTTAGTCCAAAATCTTCACTCTGTTGAGTTTTGGATCTTCTTGCTCATGTCACTACTTTTCCATAAATGTTTGACAGTTTGGGGACAGTTGCTCATCTTTATTAGTGAATTCCTGTTCACCTGCCTGTTCTGTTTGTCTCAGCTTCTCTTTTTATCAGAAAGTGATGAGACAATGCCTATGTTTTAGAGCAAAAATGAGGTGATCCCACCTTTCCCCTTTCCTTGCCTGCTAAGGAGGATTCTGACTTTCCACACTGTATTTACCTCCACCATCCTCCAAGGACAGCTCTGCCATTGCCAGGGCAGGTTTGTGGCGGGGGGAGGGGGAGCTTTCTGGATGGAAGAGGCATTTTCGATGTTTTCAAGATAAAGATATACGAGAGGAGCTGCAAAGTAAGAGAGGAAAAGAGTTTTAAGAAATATTTTTAATAAACTATATCCTCTTCACAGTGCTTCCAAGATAAAAAGTAAAGTACATTTACATTACATTTAACATTATGTTGTGGTTTGTGGAGATGCATCTCTGGATTGACTGCAGGCTATGATTTCAGTAGGCTTACCCTCATCTTCTGGGTGTGGGAGCTTCCTGTCTATCCAGGGGCGCAGGACTGACACTGCTGTAACTCTAGACAGAGATCACTGTAGCTGTCTGCTTAACACAGGCAAAGGAGAAGTGGGTTGACTGTCCTGCTGCCAGACTGCCCCCCTTCACTTATCCCCCAAGGTGTTCAAGGGCCACGTTCAATGCTGGGGATCCCCTGAAATCACTCATCTTTCCAGCAGTCCCAGATGTTTTGTGTTACGATTTCCTGTTGCTATTCCGTTTTATATTTGATTCCTTTTACTTTCTATTTCTCAAGAATTACCGTGCTCCCCATTCTTGCTTTTCAAGAATGAAGAGCATAGTAATTACATGATTTGAGTATTTATATTTTGTTTCATGAGATTTGTGTGCTCAGTCATTATCTTATTCTGGATGTTCCAGACATCCAGAGGAGTTTTAACATTGGCTTGGGTAACAAGGAGTCTACATGGAAGGCATTGAAAAGGGGTTTCCATGAAGAGTTACTAGATGTCTTAGTGGAGATAAGAAATCTATCAAATGAGCTTCAGAATTCTTGCTGATCTGGGCTTCTAATTACAGAACTGTTTAAACAGAAAATTTGAACTTAAACTTGATAAGTTTTTGTGAGATTTAATCATGTATGTTTTGTTGCATGGGAAGTATGCTTTCTCAGGAAAAGACAACTTGCAGTGCAGTCAGTGAGACAGGCATAATATGCTGACCATGCAATCTAATTTTAGCCTGGATTTCTAGACTAACAGCTATGCTATTGAGAAACACATGTTTTTTTCTCAGTGGTCAAAACCAGGATGTGAAACCATATGCCCCAAGGGGTCTTGACCAAGTGACCATCTGCACCCCTCCAAATACATGTACTCAGGAAGAGCGCTGTCTGGGTGTTGTTGCCAAAAATGTATGTTTGCAAGAGAGACAAAACGCATGTAAGCATCTTGTGACCATGATCTAAGCATCTTGTGAAACCATCTGTAATCACTAACTACAACTGTTAATAATCAGTAACCAACCAGAGTGTGACTATTACAACACTCATTGATTTTCCCTTAATTGTCCTCCCTATGGTTTGGTTCCTCTTTTTGCCCCATAAGAAAACTTGTATAACAAAACTGACCTGGACTACCTGGCTCCATTTTCAGTCGGCTACATAGTTCCCCAACTACAATTGTTTTATTAAACTCTTAATTAACTTCTCCATTTTAACTTGAAACAGTGTTCAAGTTTTTCTCTACAACAACCCTATGTAAAAGAAACACTGTTTCTTTAGTTCTCATCTCAAAAACTTTTCTGGAATGACTCAGGCATGCCACTGGCAGAGGTCTTAGCAGTCAGCACATTTACAACCTTCCTATCAAAGAACAGTATGTGCCAGGGCTCTCTGTTTATTCGTGCAATAAATTCCAAATGGAAACCTAAAATGATTAAACTTCATTACCTAATGTTTCAACTTAGTCATCAACTTAGTGATAGGATTGAGCAGAAAAGAAGGCAGTGGTTTGGCTAGCATCAAGGGGAATTTGGTACTGGATTTCCAATATTTGGTCAGGAGTGGCCTAAATCTGTCATGCCTTGGGTCAGGATTGGTCTTGGCAACTGAGAGCTGTAGTGGGTAAGTGACCCTAACCAGAGGGAAGGGAAGGTATGTAAGATGTGAGCCTTCTTAAGATAATAAAAGAACACTTCATAGAGCCATTAGACTAACCATCTCACCTTACAGATAAAAAACTTCAGAGAGGTTGTGATTTACCCAAGACCAAACCATTAGTGGCAGAATGGCCTGGCATACTGTTCCTTTTAATACTGATATTTTAGCACATTGAATGCACAAAGCTTAGTGGTAAATACATTCTGAGGGGCAATTACTTGAATTAATGACTTCCTAGAAAACTGTGTTTAACTTGATGGTTTTGACCCACCAAAGGCATATATTTGAATGCATGAAATCACTGACTAGTGAAGAGACAATGGAATCTTTTTTCCCCAGCTAAACAGCTTAGTGTATTTCTTTTAAGAGGATTTAGTTATAAAACTAATTGTACCAGAGAAATCTGATCTGGAAATCGCATGTTCTTTTTCATTACCTGGTCCAATGTGACTTTCCTATGGAGAAGAATGCATTCAACAAATATCGAATAACTTGTTGTTAGGTGTCGTTGAGTTTGATTTCAACTCATAGCAACCCCACGTGACAGAGTAGAACTACCACCATAGGTTTCCTAGGCTGTAACCTTTACAGGAGCAGATTGCCAGGTCTTTTCTCCCGTGGAGCCACTGGGTGGATTTGACCACCCACCTTTTGGTTAGCAACCATTGCACCGCCAGGGCTCCTTATTGAATAACTACTACAAATAAAAACCTTTATTTTCTGATTACTAGATGACTGTTCTTTTAAGCCTGTTTGCTATAGGATCTGTAATATTTTTTAAAACTATATATTAATAATGCAGGAATAATTGCAACTCTGAGCTGTCACCATCTAGTACAGTATTATGTTATTGCCTACTGTGGAGGCCTTGGAATGTCTTATGTGCAATTAACTAAAATTGCAAAGACAAATATAGTGGAATAATGAAAGTCATATTTATCTCAAATAGTTTCATTTTGCCACACATTTCTACCTACTTTACCAAATACTTTGCTCTCCAGATGTAAACCAGGCAGAGACTGAAAGAACATCACTTTATTCCAAAGTTGACAATGAGGGAGCTTTTTGCAGTCTTCCATCACTTCCTCCCTCAGCTCCCCCCCCGTTTGGAGATGCTAACAAGAATTAGGATGGTCATAAGCTATTGGAGGGGATAAAAGGGGTGAAGGCTACCCACATTTTAGTTACTGTCTGGCATGTCTTGCATAGGGCCTTTTACCCTGTGTGAGGCAAGGAGAAGAAATGAAATTAAATATACAGATAAATTCAAGGAATGACTGAAACTAAGGCAAAGATACTAATTTTATTTCCCCGGTTAACTCAGCCAGGCCCTTGTCTCCATTTCTGACTGGTGGTGACCATTGGCTGTTATGCTCTGTGGTGGCTAGAATCTTGTTTCCCTCAGGATTAGAATGAACAATATTGTCCAAAATATCACTATTTTGAACATATTTCTTCTGGGAAATAATGACTCTCTAAGATGAAATTAAGGAGAAGAGAAAATGGGAGAAAGGTTTAAAGTGTACAAATGTTTCCAACCACAGGAGGAGCAAAACACCAAAGAAGCTGGGTGGCTCAAGGTGGTGTCAAAGCACTGGAGTCTAAGCCAAGGTTCACAGTTCCTTCAGGCCAGGTCCCACCCAGAGAGAAGCACTCCAGTCCCCATCATTAAGAAATACCCAAACCCAGTGTGTCTAGAGGGAGGCCACACATACCACATTGTCTTTCAGGAGATTTCCAGGGAAGAGCTAGTCTAACTGGTGGTCTTCAGACCATCCCTGGCCAGAGCCCCAGGCCAGGAGGAGCTGGATGAGTCGATGATGATGACAGTAAGTCAGAGCTGTGCCGGGTTCAGGTCTTGAAGATCAGAAAGCCCCCAAATGTAGAGCCTGGCAGGCTTCTTTTTGTCACCAATCCCTGGGTTAACTCAAACCACACTCTCTCACCCTTTTGCAGCTCAGCCATAGCAAAGGTCGTTGCTACGTTTCCACCCCTCTGCCCCCCAGTGGTATAGACTGGGGTCCGATGGTGACCTCCAAACACCAGCTGCCCGGTGCCTGGCCCTGGACCAAATTCAATGCTCACTGCAAAAAAGTAGACTCCACGCTCAGGGGCTCGGAAGTAGCCGTGTTCAGGGAAGTAGTTGCTGCCAATGTTGATGTAAGTGGTGTTGAACTTCACAGTCTGCAGAGCCGTTGTCCCTTCTGAACAGCTGGCATAGAAGGCCACAGGGGAGCCTGAAATGCAGGGGGAACATGCTCAGCGACTCGGCCCTCTCTCCCTGGGATGGGAAGTTAAACCCTGACACCTGCCTTTCTCTCCTTGTTAGCATCAGAAATAGGTCACTGACCAGAAGAACTGGATGTTGCTGGCTACCACTACTGAACATTTTGATCAAAGTTTCTACAGAAGAATCCTGATCAAAAACGGGGTGGGGGTGGTGGGGTTGTGGAATGTAGAGGAGAATTTGAAATTCTCATGGAACTCAGACTTTCTGGAGCCATGAAGGCTGGATGAACCCCCAAAACTACTGCCCTGAGATTACGTTTAAACCTTAAACCAAAAATATCCCCGGAAATCTTCTTTAAACCAAGTAATAGTTTAGCTTAGTAAAGAATGTCTGCCTTGAGCTTTGTGCTTTTTAAAAGAACTATCTATGTGGGATCAAACTGACAACAGCAACTCAAAAGGTTAGATAGAAAGCTTAGAGGGTAGAGAGTTTATGTTAATGGGGGAGGAACAAATCAGAAAAGGAAGGCGAGAATGGTTGCACAACTTGAAGGATGTAATTAGTGTCACTGAATTGTACATGTAGAAATTGTTCAATTGGTGTATGTTTTGCTATGTACATTTTCAACAATAATAAAAAAGAACTAGATCACTGGCTGGTAAGGTAGTCGTTCCCAACAGCAAAGTATCTCAGGAAGCAGGAGCTAAATGGCCAGTTCTCAGTATTTCATTGATTGGGAGAAAGGAAGATACAAGTCTGTTGTCTAGACTGGTGTACATTTTAACAAAGCATTTTCTCATTAGATCCCTTTTCCTTCCAACATCCTTGAGAAACAAGTATCCCTGCTTTACAGACTGAGAAAACTGAGGCCCACAGGGCTAATGTGTTTGCCCAAAGCCACATGGCTTGTAAATGGCATGCTGGGACAGGAACCCAAGTCTCTGACTCCCAGACTACTGCTACCTGCTAGGAATCTTGAGGTACACAAGATAAAAAGAGAGGCTCTTGCCATCCTCCAGGTACTACCACCACTGGTGAGATAAGTAAGGAGAAGTGACGGGTGCTTCTACTGGACGTCTGACACAGGGACTCCGAGAAAGGAAGGAGCAGGTGGTGCCAGGGAAGAAAAGTCTCATAGAGATGCAGGTTTTTCAACCTAGTAATCTCTCTGGTTTTCCAAACAGGTTTCACAGAGCCCTGGGATTATAGATGGGGAAACTGAGGCCCAGAGAAGGAAAGCTGCTTGCTCCAGATCACATGGCTAACAAATAGCCAAGCTGGGAGCCGACTGTGGGTCCGCTGTTTGCTGGCACTCTTCCCACATTTCTGCACTTGAAGGCACATGTCAGCCACCCTTGGTAGGACGGGACGGAGACAGAACACAGGCACGCAGGCATGGAGGCAGAGGAAGCGTGATGTGTGGCGGGGGGCGGTAAATAAACATTCAGGGGAGGAAGAGCATAGTCAGGTTGCTAGGCAGGAAGGCCAGGCAGGGGAGGAGAGGGCCAGAAGAGCAAGGGTGAAATTCCCACTTTGGTTCTGGCTATGACATTGGCCTTGGCTCCTCACATGCTCCCTCTGGAGGGATTATTGAGAACAAGCTCCCATTTCTCAGGGGACGAAACCAAGGCTTACAGGAGGAGCAACTTGCCTAGCAGTTAGTGACTTAGTTTCCAGAACTAAAGTCCCAGCCCTTTGTCTCTCTGTCCAGAAACAACCTTGTAAATGAAAAAAACTTTACTTTTCTCTAGTTGTGGAAGAGTATTTGAGAATTGAAGAGTTCAATCTCTGTGTGAGATTGTCAAGTCAAAGGTCAGCGGGCTGGCCCTGCAGTTTCCTTAACATCCAGGAGGTGGCGTACTAGCTCAGCAAAAGGAAGGCCAGACTAGGGCACCCTCTGCCCGGGTGTGGTCTCCCTTCACCAGGTTCCTGCCAGCCTGCCTGTGCCTTGGAGTCCAGCCCTTCCAAGGGAGACCCCACCCAGTCAGTGGACCCAACATGCCCCTCAGAAGGTGTAAAGGTTGTGCTTCGCTGATTTGCTGGCAAAGAAGCTGACAACAGGCTTCCCTACAGGCAAGGGCACACATTCAAGCCCTACAGACTTCCTGCAAGACAAATAGGGGAAAATGGGCATATTGAGGTTTTGAACCATTCTCAAGAGGAAAGAGATGGAAGAGTTAATGTAGATAGACTGGTACACAGCCTCAGCCCTGAAAATGCTAAGGAAACGGGAAACATTGACTGGGTTCCTACGACATGCCACTGAGTCAGCTCCAGCTCATGCCAACCTTACGTATAAGGGAACAAAACATTGCCCTGTCGAGTAGCCCTGGTGGCACGGTAGTTAAAAAGTGCTCCAATGCTAATCCACCAGCCGCTCCACGGGGGAAGGATATGGCAGTCTGCTTCCAGAAAGATTACAGCTTTGGAAACCCTATGTGGCAGTTCTACTCTGTCCTATAGGGTAACTATGAGTTGGAATCTACTTGACGGCCACGGGTTTGGCTTTGGGTTTTTTGGTGCCATCTTCATGATCATTTGAGACCATTGTTGTGGATATTGTGTCAGTTCATCTCATTGACGGTTTCCTTCTTTTATGCTGACCCTCTACTTTACCAAACATGATGACCTTTTCTAGCAATTGGTCTTTCTTGATCATATGTCCAAAGTCAGCAAGTCAGAGTCTTGCCATCTTTGCTTCTGTGAAGCATGGTGGTTGTAAGTGGTTGTAAGCCTGTGCTGGTGTGTGGTAAATGTTATCTGTTTATCTTCATAACAACCCTCTAATGTAGGTAGTGATTCTCCTATTTTATAGAGGAAGACACTAGGGCAAGTCAGTAACGCTAGAGCCTGTGCTCTTCCCACTGCTTCAGGCTGCTCCAGGGGAGATACAGACCTCCTGGGCCATGATGACGGCCAGTAGGAGCATGCACATGAGGAGCGACCTTCAGCAAGGCCAAGGCCTTCCTCCATGCCAGGTGGCACCACTGTATAGATGGTCCACATGGTGGCCTCATGTCAGCCCTGTGTCTGGGTGAGGAAGTGGTCCCCACCTCCAATGCTCAGCCTCTGGCAGAGGAGAGTCACCAGAGGCACAGAGCCTAATGGTCCTGCCCCAGGGTCCACTCAGGGAGGCGTGGGAAGGTTGGCTGCACATCACTTCAGCCTTGGAGCCAGCTCCCAGGTCCTTGGAGTCCTGTAGGGACAAGCTATCGAGGGCCTTTCAGAGGGCAGCAGGGGTGGAGAAGCAGCTAGCCTGGGTTCAGGTCTCCTCTGTGCTGCTTAAGCTGTGTGAGCAGGACACTTTCCTGTTTGTGCCTCAGTTCCAGGTAGAATGGTGGTGCTAGTCCACGTGTCACTGAGCTGCTGTGGTGATTCCACGTGGCAAAGCCCAAGAGGGCATTGCACAGGATCTAGCACAGAGCAGCGAGAAGAGTCAACGATGTTTGCACAGAGAACAGCCTCCTTTCAGGGTCCAAAGTCTTTGCCCACACTCACCTCTTGTGAGGTGCTACCCATGGCAGGCTATACCAGCGCCTGGCCGCACACTCACCTGTACATGGGGGAAAGCTGGCTGAAACTAACTGGGGGGGGGGGAGGGTTGGGGAGGTGAAGAGCTGAGATGGCGGGGTTTGAGGGTGTGACATGGAAGGAGAGGAGGCATCCTGCCCCAGTCCCCTACAGTTAGAGCAGCAAGGCAAGCCGGGACCAGCAGCCTATGTATCTGAGCCTCAGACATTAACATGCCACGTGGCTCTGCTAGCTCCGCAGCGCAGATACTGACAGCGGTTCTAGCATAAATAGTCACTTCTACCTTGCTATACTCCAGGTCCACCACTCAGCCATCAGTCTGTCATACTGTCACGGTTTTTGTATTGCTATGGTCCTGGAAGCTATGCCCCACCAGTATTTCAAATACCAGCTGGGTCACCCATGGTGGACAGGTTTCAGCAGACCTTCCAGACTAAGACAGACTAGGAAGAAAGTCCTGGTGATCTACTTCCAAAAATCAGTCAGTGAAAACCCTCTGGATCACAACAGAATATCATTCAGTATAGCGCTGGAAGATGAGCCCGCTAGGTTGGAAGGCCACAATGGACTCAAGCATTCGGCCAATCATGAGGAAGGCGTGGGAGCAGGCAGCGCCTGGTTCTGTTGTACATGGAGTTGCCTTGAGTAGGAGCCCGCATGACTGGACAGCAACTAACAACAACAATATATCCCAGGTGGCTTAAGAGGCCCCTCGCCCTGAATGCGAGGTGTGAGCCCGAGTCATGGTGGCCAGGATTACCCTGTTCTCTTCACCCACCTCCCCGCAAGCGGAGGAATGCTCTCTGATAGCCGGTCCTCCTAGAGCTCCAGTCTCCCCCGCCCAGGGACTCACCTGCCTCCATCAGCTCTGCTGTCCGGCCTTTGCCTGGGGTGTCTGCCCAACGCTCCGCCTGCTTCTTGTCCCGCGTCCGGGGAGCTTCCAGGCCTCTATGCTGCTTCTTCCCTTTCCTGTTCAGCATGGCCTGCAGCTTCACCAGGTCTATGCTGACGTTGGCTGCCACGAGCCCTTGGGAGTTCCCAAAAAGGCTGTGGAAGAGCATCTGGTGCCGCTCCAAGCCCTGCTGGGTGGTAGAGATCGCGTCCTGCAGGCCCTCGAGAGAGTCGTTGAGGGCGGCCGCCCAGGAGGCCTCGCAGCACCGTTCTGCCAGCTGGACCTGGGCACCCAGGCGCTGGAGTTCCTCCTTCAGCCCAGCCAGGTCCCTGAGGCCGGGGCCAGGGCCCTCCTCGCGCCGCTCCTCGTGGCTGGGCTCCAGGTGCTCCGTCCCGGACCCAGCCCGGCCCTGCCAGCCGCCCGCCTGCAGCTCCAGGACGCTCACCCGCGAGGCCAGGGCGGCCCAGCCGAGCGCCTGCTCGCGCAGCCCACTCGCAGCCTCCTGCATGCCCAGCCGGATCTGCTCGTAGCGCAGGGGCAGCGGGCCCGGCGACTCCTCCGACATCTCCTCCATCATCTCCTCCCCGAAGAGCGCAGCCAGGACGGCCTCGTGCCGCAGCGCGTCCTCCAGCAGCGCCTCAAACGAGCTGTTGAGTTGGCCGAGTTGGCGGCGGGCCAGCCCCTCGGCCGCTTGCAGCGCGGCCACCTCGCGGAGCAGCGCGTGCAGCTGGCTGCGCAGCCTGGCAGTGTCGGCCCGCGCCCGCTCGCCCTCGGCCCGCTGCGCGTCCACCGCCAGCGAGAGGTCCTCCACCGCGGCCCTCAGGGCGCGCACATCCGGGCCGTCAAGCTGCCGCCGCTCCTCCGGGTTCTCCTGGGTCTCCTCCAGGGCCCGGGTGGTGTCCCGCTGGCCCTCCTGGATGACGTCCAGGTCCAAGGAGAGTTTCTGGCAATTGCAGTCCTTAACATACTTGATGAGGTCAGCATGGCCAGCCTGCAGGTGCTGAAGGGTGAGGTTGAGTTCCAGAAGGTGCCGCTCCATCTCCTCCTTGTTCTCCTCCATGATCAGCGACTTCTCCATCAGGATCACCCGGAGCTCACGCAGCCCCGTGTGGTTCACTTGCAGTTCCTTCACCTGCCGCCCCACATTGTTGATCCGAGCGAAGATGTCATCGGATTCTGAGTACAGCTCCTGGATCTCCTCCACGTGCCCGGCCAGGGTTGCCCTGATGTCGGTCAGGGCGCTCTGCAGCTCCTCTTCCCTGCGGCCTGCGGCCAGATACAGGGCGGAGAGGTTCCTCTGCAGCTGCCCCAGCCTGGCCTGCAGGCTCTCTGGCTCCGGCCTTGCCCCCGCCCCTGCCTCAGCCACTACCGCCAGGCTGCCACCCGCACCCGGAAGCTCCTGGGCCTTGTGGAGCCGTTTCAGTTTGGCGTTCATATTGGCCTGGACCTCCTGGATGGAGCGGTTCAGGGAGAGGTGCTGGGCGTGCAGGCGGGCTTCCACGTCCTGCTGTAGCTGGCCCATTCTCTGGGCATTCCCCTGCACCTTGCTCTCAAATTTGGCACTGAGTTCCTGGAAGACTGCCCTGGCCACAGAGCCCTCCTGGACCCTCTGGATGGCCTGGCGATTGGCCCCCACGTCAAGAGACAGGCTCCTTATGGCCTGGGAAAGGTTGTGCAGGCTTTCGTTGAAACTCCTCCAGATGGGGCTGAAGTGCACTTGCAGAAAGGCCTCCACGTGGGGCAGCAGCACTTGCTCCAGGGATCTGCCAGACAACTCTGCAGGCAACAGACACGTGTTTATACATGTGCTGCAGGAATAGGTACCCCTTCCCGGGTGGCCCGCAGGGACCAGAGGGAGCCTCTGAGGCTTGAGGCCTTCCTGCCTCCCCTCCACCACTTCTCAGATGTGACCAGGCACTCACCAAGCTCAGTTTGATTTGCTTCCATTGTGGCCACTGTGAGGTTACTCGCCGGGGCCATCCCTAGGCCTGGGAAGCTGCTGGTCACCTGGTGAAGGTCATTCTGGAGCTCTCCCAGCCGGTGTTCCTGCTGCACCGCTACCTTGCTGATCTCTGCAACTGGGTGGCCTGAATACATGTCAGAGGTCAGTGCCGAGGGCTGACCAACCAGGCCTGGTCGGATCACAAGGGTCAGGGAAGATTTGGGGGTAGGGAGCAGGGAGGCATACTGACACCCTATGAGCAGGAGTTTAAAAGCCTTTAGCCCAGGAAGGACAAATATATGGCAAGTGAGCCCTGATGATGCCTCCCACACCCACAGCAGACATGACTAATCAATCAATCCTGGCATTCCATCCTCTTCGGCCACATGGACATGGCCTCAAAACACACAGTTCTAGGCAGCCCTTGTCAGCAATGGGAGTTGACCACGAGGGAAACTCATTTGCCATCCGAACCTTGGTCCTAGTCCTGAGAGACCCCACAAAAGGTATCTCTTGGTGGGTTCATCTGTGCTGGCTCCAAAGCCAGGGACAGCATGACTTCCTGGCCCTGGTTAGGGAGGTGGGAGGGCTTCTTCCAGGGTTGTGTGGTTCAGGGGGCAAGGAAGGTGCCAGATGGAGCCGTCCTCCCAGGCAACGGGCCCAGGGAAAGGGTTCACATACTCTGTAGGCCGGCAGTGGAGAGCCTGGGCTCCTGCGGTGGGGTGGGGCAGGGAAGGCCAGAGGTGAGCCTCTGCTGATTCCCAGGGCATGGCTTTCCTGAAAGGGCTCGGGCACAGGGGCTCTGCCCAGACCACCTCCTGTACAGCCAGCCAGGGACTCCAAGGGAACTGCCCCACCTCCCCCAAAAAGCAACACACCAGGTCCAGAGCTGACTGGCCCTTCCCAAGGCTCCTGGAGACCGTCACGCAGATCTGCACGTTCAGGGACTGCTGTGGGATCTGCCGAGACAAGATGGAGAGGCGTGGGACATTAACCTGGGGATCAGTGGCTCCACATGGCCTCTGAAGTCTGAGGTCAGAGGTTGAGGCGGGATGGGGTAGGGACAGTAGGCCTCTGTGGCGAGGGCCGCGGGAGCCCTACCGTGGTGCTGGCAGTCGGGGCCCACGTAGCCCGGGCAGCACCTCCAGGCCACGGAGGTCAGCACCTTCTGCCTGACCTCATACACCGGCTTGAAGGCCATGCGGTACCTGGGGGAGGAGGGCCAGCTCAGTGACTGGGGGTGAGGGGAGCAAGCTGAGGTGACCAGGAGAATGCCCCCCCCCCACTCACATGACTTTGACTTTGTGGCAGTCAGGAGCCCCCTGCAGACACGGCTGCTGTGAGTGGACGTGGAATGTCTCTGTTTTGCAAGCAGCTACAAAGGTGACCAGCCTGGACTTCTGGTAGGGGCACCAATTACTAGAAAGAAATCAGAACAGAGTGAAGGAAAGGCTGCTGAGCCACTGCCCAGGCCACCTCACCCCCACCTCACTCTTCCCTCCTAGGGGCCCATAGGAGGAGCTGGGATAGAGCACCCCCTGCCACCACCAATGCTGAGGCTTCTGGAATCCATTAACCTGAGGAGGGAGTGTCTGCAATATTCATCCTTCCAGTTCGACCTCAAACACTCCACAAGCCCTGCCCAGGAGAACACCTGCTCCACCACCTTCTGGGAGCCACCCCTGAAAGTCAAACAGCTTTCACTGTTCTTCCAGGTGGGAAGAAGGCAGCCTGGTGCAGCTGGGGCTGGAGAGTCCTGGACCCAATCCCTCCTAAACTACTTTCTGGCTGTGGGACCTTGAGCAAGGCACTCAGCAAGAGTGCCCATCTATTTCCCCATCTATTCATGGAGACATCAACACCCTCCTAGCAGCAGGCCAACGAGTGCTCCTAACAGGCACTCAGAAAATGGGGCTCCCTGGCCCCACTCTGGCTGCCCCAACAGCCTGCCCCCATTGCTACTCACATCCTTCCTCACCAGAGACCTCGCCCAGGGAGGGCAGCTGCTCCCAGCCATGCCCCATTAGTGCTGTTACACAAATGGACTTTCAAATCATGGCACATTGTTTAGGGGAAGGCAGCTGGGTGAGCTGTCTCCTCTCTGGGAAAGGCAGATTGCACTGAGGTCCCTTGGGGCTGGCTTGGAGGGCACACTCTGCATCTGGAACACCTGGGGGTAATTCCTCCATCTCTGCCCTTCACCAGCATGTGCTATGGCAGGTCCTGGGAGACGGGGGATGCTTGATGCTCACTGACATGGTGGCAGGCTTGATGGGGTCAGTGGGAGGGGGTCAGCAGGCCTTTCCCTCAGCAGTCAGCTCCCAGAGCAAAGCTCTCTCAAGTTCCAAGTGGCAATGACCTCTGCAGCTCAGTGCAGCTCAGCAGCTCTTGGATGCTCAGTGCTGATGGAAACACAGGCCCTCCCTTGGGGTCTCAAGGGAGAGCTGTCAATCTCCAATGGTAGGATAAGTGCTAGGACCAACCAAGAGAAGTCCAGGGGCCTGTAGGACTTTCAGGATGAGATGATAATTGGATTGAGCCTTAAATGGAGAAAGTCAGATGAAGCAACAGGAGCTGTGGCCCAGAGGTATGTGGGGCCCGTGGAGGTACAGACAGTGGAGTGGAGGTGGGGCTGGAGGGAAAAGAGAAGCCAGACCTTGGAGGCCTTGAGTGCCAGCTGAGGAGCTGTGTCCTAAGGGCATGGGAAGTCATGGGGTGGGGGTGGGGCTGGGGATTTAAGCAGTGATGTGACATGAATGAGCCACTATGGCTTCTGCCACAGAAAGGGTAGGACAGGACAAGATTTGACAGTTGTTGCAGGGGTCTAGGTGAGAGATGATGGTGGCTTGGACTAGGGTGAGGACGATGAATACAGAAAGAGTTGGTCATGTTTGTGAGACATTAGAAGGCACAATTCATGGGCCTTGGTGATGGAGTGGCTATTTGGGGGCTGAGACTTTATTCTCTGGTGATGGTCTCTATACTGGGCCAACTGGTACAGTCATACAGGGATGATGCTGGGGATGGCAGAGGTAAGGGATTGAGTGACCATATATGTTTTGAGCGCTGAGACACCCCAGCCCCCAGCCTGCCTCCACTTGGTTCCTAGATACCTGGCAGACAACCTTTACCCTCTTGGCAGCAGATTGGAACAGCTCCTCAGTAAAATGACCCAGCCTAAGAGGAAAGACCAAAAAATGCTGGCATCAAGAGTTCCTCAATGAAACAGTCCAACCAGAACATCCTATAGCAAAATGGATCAGAAAGCCCCTTCCACACACACAGCTTTAATCAGCTTTTCAGTCTCACTACTCTTCAGTGAGAATCCCTGGGTGGCACGAACGGCTAAGCGCTCAACTACTATCCAAAAGGTTGGTGGTTTGAACCCACCCAGAGATGCCTTGGAAGACAGGCCTGGTGATCTGCTTCTGAAAGGCCACAGCCTTGAAAACACTATGGAGCAGTTCTACTTTGCACACATGGGGTCACAATGAGTTGGAGTTGACTCCTCGACAGCAACTAACAACAATGACAGCTCTTAAGTGAGCAGACATTAAAGAATTACCTCTAAGGATATTTTCTATTACAAAAGAGAGAAGTCAGAAATGGCAAACAGGAAAAAATCAACTTGGAGAAAACCAAGATTGTGCGGGGAGAAAAGAACTTCCATAAAAAGTGTATTAATATTTCCAGATTGATAAAAGAAATAACTGCATCCAAGAAACAAGAATAGGATGCTATAAAAAAGAGGAATAACATTCAGAGAAAAAATAACTCTTGAAAATTAAAAACACAACAGTAGAAGTGAAAAAAATTAATAGAAATATTAAAGAGTAATGTTAAAGAAAATTCCCTAAAAGAAGAACAAATAAAGAAATGGAAAACAGGAGAGAAAAGAAGAATAGAGGACCAATCCTGGAGATTCAACATCCAAATAATAAGAAATAATAGGAAAAAGGGAGAGAGAGGTTAAAAAAAATAATAATAAAGAAAATACTGCAGAAGTGAAGAACTTGGATTTCCAGATTCAAAGGACCAATCAAATACCTGCAATATGATGAAAATAAATCCACATCTAGTGTCATGGATTGAGTTGTGTCCCCAAAAAATACCTGTCAGCTTGGCTGGGTCATGATTCCCAGTGTTGTATGATTGTGTAATCTCATGTAATTTCCTTATGTGTTGTAAACTCTATCACTATGATGAAGTTATATGTTATCTCCTTATGTGTTGTAAATTCTGTCACTGTGATGAAGTTATGCTGATGAGGTTTACAAGATCTGATAGTGTCTTAATCCAATCTCTTTTGACATATAAAAGAGAGAAGCGAGCAGAGACACATGGGAACCTCATACCACCAAGAAAGCAGTGCTGGGAGCAGAGCATGTCCTTTGGACCTGAGGTTCCTGCGCAGAGAAGCTCCCAGACCAAGAGAAGATTGATGACATGGACCTTCCACCAGAGCCAACACAGAAAGCATTCCCCCGGGAGCTGATGCCCTGAATTTGGACTTGTAGCCTACTGGACTGTGAAGAAATAAACTTCTCTTTATTAAAGCCATCCACTTGTGGTGTTTCTGTTAGAGCAGCAATAGATGACTGAGTCATCTAGGTACATTGTGAAATTTCAGAACTCTGGAAAAAAAGATATAATTCTGCAATCTTCCAGTGAGAAAAACCAAGCCACACACACAAAAAGATCAGTAATTGGAATTGCTTTGAACCTCCTGTGATGGTTGAGGCTGTGTGTCAGTTTGGCCAGGCCATGATTCTCAGTGGTTTGGCAGTAATGTAATGATGTAGTTATCCTCCATTTTGTAATATAATGTAATCACCTCCATGATGTGATATGATATGATCAGCCAATCAGTTGTAAGGGGAGTTTCCTCAGGGGTGTGGCCTGCATCCAATATATATGGATGTTCTGGCAAAGCTTTGCTCGCTCTGGACCCTGCATCCAGCTCATTATCATCTGACCTCTGGTTGTTAGGATTTGAGCCGGTGGTCTACAGTATTGCCTGCCAATCTTAGGATTCATTGGCCTATGCAGCCTGTGAGCCAGCAATTTGCCATCTTACCTGCTGATCTTGAGTTTGTCAGCCCCTGTAGCTATATGAATTAGGAGAAGCCTCCAGCCTGATGCCTGACCCGTGGATTTGGGACTTGCCAGCCTCTACAATCACATGAACCATTTCCTTGAGATAAATCTCTCTGTCTTTCTCTCTCTCTATATATATATATGCATATATATATATATATACACACATACACATGTATATATATACACACATATAAGTATATGTGTGTATATATATATACACATAGCAATATATATATTGCTTCTCTAGAGAACCCAGCCTAAGACTTCTCTCAACAGCAATATCAGAACCTAGGATACAGTGCAGAATTGCATTCAAAATACTGAAGGCAAATTATTTCCAACCTAGAATCCTATACCCAGCCAAACTATCAATCAACATGAAAGAAAAATAAAAACATTTTCAAACAAGCAAGATTTCAAAATATTGACCTCCCTGTTTCCCTTACTAGTGAGCTACTATAGCAGTGGTTGGAGCTCTGCTGGCTCAGCAGCTGCTAATCGAAAGGTCAGCAGTACGAACACACTAGCCACTCCACGGGAGAAATATGTGGCAATCTACTTCTATAAAGATTACAGCCTTGGAAACCCTATGGGGCAGTTATACTCTGTCCTATAAGGTTGCTATGAGTGAGTCAGAATCAACTTGACAGCAATGGGTTTAGAGCAACGGTTCTCAATCTTGCCTGCACATTAAAACCATCATGTGCTGCTTTAAAAAAAATAAGATTCTCAACGAGACTAAAGGGGCACACCAGCCCAGGGGCAAGGACTATAAGGCAGGAGGGGACAGGAAAGCTCGTAATAGGGAACTCAGGGTTGAGAAGGGAGAGTGTTTACATGTTGTGGGGTTGTTAACCAATGTCACAAAACAATACGTATACTAACTGTTTAATGAGAAGCTAGTTTCTTCTGTAAATCTTCATCTAAAGCACAATTTTAAAAAAAAAGTAGAATGAGAGAAAAAAATATTCTCTGAGCCCCACTCCAGGCTAGTTAAATAAGATTCTCTTGGGTTGGGGCCTGGGCATCAGCATTTTTAAAGCTTCCTGCGTCATTCTAAGGTACAACCCAGGATTAAGCACCACTGTGCCGAGGGAAGTGCTTCACCAAAACAAGACAGTAAACCAAGAAAGAGGAAGACATCGGGATCAGTAAACAGAAGTTCCAACTCAGAAATGAGAGGAAGGGAATCCCCAGGAAGATAATGAGAGGAGATTTCAAGACAATGATGTACACTGGGTATAGGGGGCAACCAGTCCAGATTGGAGCACATCTGGAGGCTGTAGGAGAAACTTTTCCAAGAAGATGAAGTTGATCAA